ATCTTAATAATCCTTTTGCTCTTGATAAACAAGTGTAAGAAGCACTGTGGAGCATCCTGGGTAACACTGGATTCCATGTCATTGAGCAGGTTTTGACTTGATCTGATTGATGGAGAAGTTTGATCTATGAAGATAAGGAAATTTTTTCAACATTTACCCTCGGAGGCCTTATTTATTCCACAATTCCACACAGCTCCCCTGAGGCCTTATTTATTCCACAATTCCACACAGCTCCCCTCTTCAGCATTTTGTGTTTGAAAACATGAGAGATCCTGACCTCTTCCCACCCACCCTCCCCCTTTCCTTATATTTAGCAGCAACCTAAGAATGTCTTGGCAGAGGAAATTGGATGTGAAGTTTGCACAAGCTCTTGGAGTGCTTGGCTGGTGATGTGGGGGATACTTGCAAAGCAGAGTCACCTCCCTGTCAAGGAGGGACACCCACAAGCACCCTGACTGCAAATATCCAGAGCTCTCTGGCTGTTCCATTTATTTAGGGAAAAGTGGGGGCTTGGCAGTGGTATAGGAGAGGCAGCCTCTGGAAATGATTGTCCAACCAGAACACTCTTAATATTTTACCTGTCACCACCACATGTTTAGCCTTCTACCAGGATATGGTTCACATACCTGGAATTTGCCCTGACCTGAAGCAGAAAGAGTGTCCTTACCATTCATGTAATTTTCTAAGAAAATGTGTTTCAGCTTGAGCTGAGAACCTAGGAGCATCACTAGGGAGGGAACAAAGACATCTCTCAAGTCATTTGAAGGTGAAAAATACTTCCATAGGAAGTACAATGATCTTAATTAAATATTAGCTGTAATTAGCCTAAAGTGCAAATGTTGGGAATATTAATTAGGGTCTCTCTGGAGCAGCTGTCAGTGTTAATAAGTAACTGTAGGGGGTCCTGCCAACATCTGTTTGAGACCTCCAGGTCCAAGATGCAATTCAGAGCCCCAGTGTACCTGGACGCTAACTGTTGTCCACTTGGTTTTCACTGACTTGGTTCTCATAACTGGACAACTGTGTCTGCCAGAGTGGTACAGATCTTGAGAGCTTCTGCTGCTCTGGGTCCAGAGACACTCTTAGCTGGTCCTTGCCTTTCCTATGACAGGTTCAGAGTACTCTAAAGACAGAGCTCAAACTTGAACTGGCACAGAGGTTTCCCATACTGCTGTACCACCAAGTATCCAGGGTCACCTCTGCATCTGGAAAACAGAGTCAGAGGTATCCTACATCCTAACCTCCACACAGGAGGAGGTGAAATATGTTGGAGTGCAGAGCTATATATTACAGAGAGGGGTGTGTTCATTTGCAGACTCAGCTGACCTCTGAAGCAGATGACTCTCTCACAAAATGAAAGGGGAAGTTGGGTCTTAGTTTAGCTCCTTGCTTTCCTGTGAATGGTCTGTGCCTTGGGTGTTGAATCATTTTTTTTCTTAGTTCTAGAAGAAACATTTCTGATTACTAAGTTAAATAGACTAGGGGGTCTAGTACATGCAAAGCAAGAATTCTAGACATCCCTATTATTAGCTTTTGAAGCCCATGGGTAGCCCTTTGGGAGTTTGTACACTACTGGGACTTGGCAGTATCAATGGTGTCCAAGAACCAATGAGAAGAAGAGCATAGCCTTCCTGAGCCATGACAACCAAAATGTCTCCTGTCATTGCCTTAAATCTCCTTGGAGTATGCATACTTGTTTAAGACCTGTTGACATAAAGTACAAAGCTGAAGATGAAGGGTGATATTGCTAAACTTGTCCTCTGAGCACCAGTGAGTAAAAGGGATGGTCTGTGCTGTGCTGTGTGTGTGTGTGTGTGTGTGTGTGTGTGTGTGTGTGTGTTTCCATCTCAGATTACAATCACAAATCTAGTGGAGGGAAGAAAATTGTAGAAGAGAGATCCTAACTTATGCTTTGTGCCACCATCACTACTGCCAATACGGAGGAGCAGCCAAGAGTACCCCTCCTTTGCTTAGACAGAATATGTCCCTTTTCTTCTCCTCCTATGTGACTGTTAGCTTCATATCCTGCCAAAACTCTGTGTACAATAATGATTTCTTAGCTGGGTTTCTCATATCTAATGCTATTCTTCAACAGCTGTTTGAAAATTTTTTTGCACAGGTCCAGACAGTAAATAGTTTAGACTTTGAGGCTCATATGGTCTCTGTCACAACAGACCAACTCTGTGTTTGTTGTACAAAAGCAGTGTAGGCAATTTGTTAAACAAATGAACCCATTTATTGGATTATGTCCCAATAAAACTTTATTAACAAGAATAAGCAGTGGTGCAGGGTTGCTCTATCATTGGTTTGCTAACCCAGACTCTGTAGGATAGGTTCTATGGTTCTCCCAAGAAAAGAAAAGTACCTAAGTTCTATAATGAAACAACACAGGATGGACACACACACACACACACACACACACACACACACACACACACGTTGGGTCATTTAGATCTTAAGGGACAGAAAACCACCATAGGGAAGATGCAATTTCTGAGCCTGATGGCTTATGTCCATAACCTCAGCTACTCAAAAGACTGAAACAGGAGTATTTCAAAGGCAAGTTCAAAGCCTACCTGGATGACTTTGTGAAATGAAATCCTTTCTCAAAATGAAAAGTAAAAAGAGAGTGGAGGGTACAGCTCAGTGCTAGAGCATTTGACTAACATGCAGGAGGTCCTGGGTTCTATCACTGTTACCAAAAAATAGAGGAAATGGAAAAGAAAGGGGAAATATTTTAAAAGTTTGATTTATGCACAGTGAAGCTGCTCTGGGGAAGTAAAATGCCAAATGATGATGATGGTTTAACAAGTCATGTGTGGTTCTAGGAAGATGAACCTTAAGTGAAATCTTCTCCAAACACATAAGCTCACAGGCATGTGGGCAAGTGGTAACTACACAGAGGTATTGGAGGAGCCGACAAGGGGAGCACAGGGACCTTTACACATTGTCTATATGTATAAAAGCATCAAGTCGTGCCTCCTAAATGCATACATTTTTTGTTAATGGTAGCTTAGTAAAGCTATTGAAAAAGGAGTATATATTCCCTTTTGTAACTAGAACATTGCTGTTTCTAACTACCCATGCGGTTGGATTCAGTCTTGACATGATGTAACCAAGACTTGAAGCTTCCTCTGTTTCCCCTAGATCCTTGGCACCATTTTGCTCTGTGTAACCTCATCTTCAGGCAGTTCCCTTTCCAGTGGCACTGCTTGGCAGCCCCAGGCTTATACTGTTTCTATAGTTTTCCATTATTTCTACTACTATATCACAGTGGAAAGGAAGCTGCTCAAATGCTATAACAATATCCTAGGCTGACAGGAACTCATTGGTATGACTAGGAAGGAAACTGAAGAGTTAGCTAAATAGATAATCATGAGGCTACACTGTGATTGGCAGTTGATGTCCTGCGGTTGACTCTGGTGGTAGCTCAGAGATCATGATTGGCAGCTGGTGTTGTGTGGTTGACTCTGGTGGTAACTCAGAGACCACCCAGAACTGAGTATAGCAACTTCTACACAGCATGAGCTAAGGGTGAATGTCCTCCATAATAGAAGCTGGGGTGTATTTTTGAAGAATTAAGTGTAGAATGTGAGTATCAGTGATAGCAAATGTCTTCTGGGGTTTGATGCTCTTATGTAGCCACCCATCTTCAGCCAGGACCAACCTACTGCTGCCCCCAGTGCTATAGGAAAATGGTCAAAACAGAAAGAAAGATGTCCTTTTATTCACTCCCAGTGAAACAGATGTTGGAACCATTATGGAGGAAGAAAAAGCAGGTGGGGATGCAGTCCTTGTAAAAGTACTTAAACTTCAACACTATACAATTAAGGGTTCCCTCTAAAACAGGTATGGACTCTGTGTCTGTGCCTTGCTCAAGTTACTGTGGCAGAGGCTGAGGTCTCCTGTTGACAGCACTTATTGATGTGTGTGCCCTGCAATTCTTGTAGAAGGACTAAAGTCACATGTAACTGTCCACAGAAAAGGGGTGTGGCCACTAATTGCTGAGCTTAATTGCCTGCCTTCCTTAATTTCTTCCTTCCTTCCTTGCTTCCTCCCTCTTTCCCTGCCTTATTCCTTCCCTCCTTCCCACCCTTCTTCTACCCCCTTTCTTTTTGACTGTACACTTGAATCTCCTGAGGCCACTGAAGTTTTGGACCTCTAGTCTACTGCTTCTTATGCATTTTGCATATGTGTATGCAGAGTGTGGGAAGGGTGTTGGAGTTATGGGGGTGGAGGTGGAGGGAGGGAGATGTTTCCAGAAATGGAAACATTTGAATTCAGGTTTTTTTTAATTCTTTTGACTTGACTGTAATTATCATGCATGT